ACACTGAAAACCGCGCAGAAGTGCTTCGGAAAATTCGTTTCACCCACCTAGGTAGCAAAAATGTTTCTGCAAATGGCGATAAAACGGCGATTTTCAAAAAATAATAGCTTCGCTATGCTTGGGCCGGGAGCCGGCTTCTTGGGCTCATCGGAAAGAGCATTTCTCCGTGTTCAACTTTCCCGCCTCAGCTGGCTCCTCCCTTTAACAACAAGCGAGCAAAAAGCAAATGTTTGAAGGTCGTTTTGAGGCACTTGATTGGCCGTGGCCGCCATGTTGCCTCAGCTCGCCTCGCCATTGGCCCGATGCTCGCTCCGGGAGATCGTCGCCTGCTGCTTGTGCGTCGCGAGGACATGGCTCTCGAAAATCGCCACTTCGTGTCGTGTTCACGGCTTGATAATCACTTAAGATATAACTACACTTTAGTTACGAGCAGTAAGCGGATGCGCGATCAGGTTACTACGAGCGTCAGCGCGGTCTACAAGCGCCGCGCGTCATTGAAGTCGTCTTTAGCCTTAACTCCGCCGACTGCGGGCAGGAACGACGCGCTAGCGCATTCGTGGCGACGTGCTTCTTCGCAAGCAGCGAAGCTGTAAGCGGCGGCACGATCTGATTACTACGAGTGGCCGCACCGGATGCACGATCAGATTACTACGTGCGGGCCCGCGGCGGTCTACGAGTGCGGCGCGTCATCGGTGTCGGCTTTAGGCTTAACTCCGCTGACAGCGAGACTGCGGGCAGGAATGACGCGCAAGCGCACTTTTGGTGACGTGCTAATCACTCGCTAGCTCCTCTGAATATTGTACGGGCATTTTACGCATCGGCAGCGGACAACACAGTCAAACTCGTCACCCCCCCCCTTCACTGCCAAGGATCGCTCGGAACAGCGGCTAGCAGTTTCGCGCGTCGTCATTCGAAAATGCGATGCCAAGTGCAGTGCGTGCCGATTTTTTGTCTTCGTAGATACACATTTCGCGCACAGTCATCGAACGCCGCCGGCAAGTGCATTACGCGCCGGCAGCACTGTCCATGCGGCCGCGCACCCCACGGTCATATGGAGTGCCGTCAGTAAGCTTTTGTGATGCGATTCAGACGTGCTTGGAGCAGTGCTTGATATCGCCACGAACGTCTATGAATGTTCCGAGGATTTGTCCGTGCCATTGTTTCTGACAATGTGTGTCGGCAGCCATGATGATCTCTAAAAAAAACGAGAACTTATTAAAAAAATTCCGAGAGTGTCATACCCTGTAGCTTTCTTTTGAGTAAAGATCAACATCATTCGCAGCTTCCTGGCATGTTTTGTTGCAGCGCTAGGCTTTCCACGAGCAGACCATGTAATTGGATTGTGTAGCATTATGTAACTTGAGAACTACTGAAGCTATCATGATGAAACTGCATATTTCCCTATTCTAGACACTTATGAGTATGCATGCCAAATTTCATTGCTGTAGGTCAACAAATAAAAAAGTTTTTTTTTCAAAGCCACCTCCCCCCTTAACAAAAACCTATGGTCACCTTGCCTATGGCTTATCTGTTGTTTTTCCGGGTCGTTTGAGCGCCGACTCCGTTCGCTGTAACCGATCGGCGATGCTCAGACACATTCATTGCGAGTGCAATGTTGTGCCATTGAAATAATATACGTCTCCACGGTCACGCAGATACCGTGCGTTTTAAGGGGAGATGCTACTCGAAAAACGATTTTCTTTAATAAGAGTCTGAATTTAACACAAATTGGCATGCTAATAGAGTTTTTTCTCCTCTTTTCAAATATGTCATTTATTTTCATGTAGATTGCTTGGTTTTCTTTCTGCAGGTCAGATACTGCAAAATTATGGCCATTGTTATGCAACAATTCTGACCTATAAAAATTTGAGATAAAGCATGAAGATATAGCTGACTATGATCCTTTGGAACTGTAGAGTGCAAAAAACTATATAAATTTTGTGTGTAAAAAGGTCAAATACAATAATAAAATAGAAAAATTTACTGTGGCTCTAGTTGCCAAGGGCTTTCAATGTTATGTAATTTTTGAAAAACATAAGCAGCACTGACAATCTGAATAGATACTTGCACTATCGGCCATCATCATGCTATGTGCAAAATTTCATAGAGGTATGACAATTCTAAGTATACGAACTAGCGTGTATAAGAAGCACAGATCACACAAAACTGCAAAAGGAGAAAAACGCATTTGAAAGTTTGAAACCTTTTTTTTTTATCACAGAGTTGTTAGAAATGCATAATCTTTTGCCATAATGTTCAACAGAACTTTGAAAAGCACTGCAAGTTACTAGAACTGTCCTGCAGCATAGGTTGTGCCCACACGGTCCTTGTGAGCACTCTCTTCTAGCCGTGCCCTTTTCACTCCACGACGACGGTGGGCCCTTGCTTCTGCTGTCAGACGCTCGGACATTCTCGTGATGCGCCTCGCATCGCGGGAATCACTGAAAGTAACTAGATCTCTAGATGGCAGTATGTTGAGCTCTTCCAGGATGTGCTCGAAAGTAGCATGACCCTTGTTGAACCACAGGATCGCCATAGCTGTGGCAGTCTCGACAACCGTTCGGGAAACAAACTTAGTCTTGGGGCAAAGTAGCCAAATTTTGCTGTTCAGGGATTCCGATGCATTCTGGGTTTTCCCTTTGATGCATCGAGCAAGGAGCTTCTCATCCGTTAGCCGCTTATAAATGGGCAAAACAGCCAATCCCTGTGCTTTTGTCAGGAGAGGTGTGTGGCGTGGTGCAGGTTCACCAAGTGCTTCAGCGCGTTGATGTTTGCACCACGACTCTGTTCCTGCAGGGCAAAACTTGTGGCTGCCAGCATTGTCAGTAGAGCATGAGTGGAAGTACGAAGCCCATACTGCAGTGTACATATCCCGTACACTCCCCGTTGCTTGTTATGGCAATCTGATAGTATGTTTGGAGCTTCTGAATGGCTGGCTCTTTCATTTTCTGCCCTCGTGATAATGGCACATGCAGCTTCCGTAGCGTGGTGCCAAGTCTCTTGGCCACATGATTAGTGCAGTATTCTTTTTCTATACTGACAGCAACATAGACTTTTGACTAATCCCGGCTGTGGCGGCTGCATTTCCAATGGAGGCGGAAATGTGGGCCCGTGTACTCGGATTTGGGTGCACGTTAAAGAACCCCAGGTGGCCAAAATTTCTGGAGCCCTCCACTACGGCCTCTCTCATAATCATATGGTGGTTTTGGGACGTTAAACCCCACAAATCAATCAATCTATAGACTTTTGACTCTGCAACTGCACTATATGCTTTGCTGTCACCGTCACTCAAGAATGTCATGAAATGCAGTGGGGTGTCATAAGTCAATGTTCTCTGCCAAATGCGCATTGCAGCCTCCGTTTCCATGGCATGGGAGGAACAGTCTGCATTTTTTTCACAGACTGGGCCATGGAATGCCTGCCACACTTCCTCGTCTGGGCCCATATCCTTGTGCCTACTGCATGTCAGGCAGTAATTTGATATGACCTCGAAGCCTAAGCAGAGGCCAGTATCTAAGGAGATAACTGCGCCAATCCCGTTGTGGCTTTTGTGGCCCCTCTTCTGCCAAGTCCCGTCGAACATAACAGCCACATCAGTTTCGCCTGCTACTTCTTTCGTCAACTCTCTGGATCGGCGCAAGTATTCACTCACAGCTGCCATGGCAGCGGTGTACACCTTCTTTGCTATCAAAAAAAATCCTCGGTGGTGCATTGGCTTTGGGAGTCCAATAGTGGAGCAAAATCCCGACAATCACTCATGCCCAGTGCGGACAGCGCGTGCAGCCACCACCGCCTTCCCATTTACAGCGAAACTATCTCGGGAGCTCCCACTGTCGTACCGTTGGCTCACTCGGCTGCTGCCGTCCGCCGTAACACGCAGTGAGGTATAGGAGCACGAAATAAAAGTCGCTGAGCATTCGCTGTTTTCGCAATGAAGTTCGAGAAGCGACGAAAGTCCCTTGCGCTTTTCTGCCGGCTCCCGAACGGCAAGTTTTTGAATACCGCAAGTAGGGCATGCCGCACCTGCCACAAGTGCCGTCAGCAAGAGGGTGTCGCACAAAACTGTCATTGCACAAACCTCATCGCGCTGTCTTTCGTCTTTTTCGAAGAAGCAGAGCTTCTTTTCCGAAGCACTGACGAAAGAAAGCGCACCGTGAATCCCTTCATCGCAGCCACTGTCGCTCGCGCACTCGTCGATGCCGCCGTCAGGCCTAGCACACGTAGGCAAGTTCTCGTTCGTCGCCGTTGTTCGGGGCGCTTTACGCCGCCTTCCCTTGAACTTGTGCTTCGTTCGAAACTTCTGCGGTCTCACGTTGCACTTTTTCGGGCTTGTCATCGCGGAAATATGCGTAGACGCGCAGAAAAGCAGACGGACCAAATGCCGATGGCCGCCACCAACACAGCTGACAATGACTCGGTAGCCAATGGCGATGCGGCTTAGGGTGCCGCGCGTTTCAAACCGCTCAAACCACGTGATAAAAAGGGCTCGTTTTTATTTATTTTTTTGCCCACGTACGAAACTGGCGGTCGTCGGAGCTCTAAGAAGAAGGCCGGACGCAACTTTACCAACCGATCGCGATGGCGGGCGGCACTGCGACGGGGAGCAGCGCGCAGTCAAAGATGGCAAATATCGGCGCAAATTCACGAAATTTTGAGCCACCGCGATGCCTTCATACACATTTTTTTGCATTTTGCGGTTCGAATTTAGTTTTGAAATTTTCACAGATGAAAGAAGAAGGTTTGAAGATTACAATGCAATAAAAATCAGAAATACGAGAAATTTCGCTAAAAACGCGATTTTCGACTCGCATCTCCCCTTAAGCAGGGCCGTGTTATATATGTGGGCTAGACTGTATTTCAAACTAGGACATCTCAGGCTACATTTAACCCTTAAATGTAGCCCGAGATGTCATTTAACCCTTAAACAAAGGATTGTAAAAACGTTGCAATGTCAGCAGAAAGGAACTAAATTTAAATAGCCTCTGAATCAGACAACTCACTCAATAGCATGCCGTGGTCCAGTCAGGGTGCAGGGTCGCTCCGACATACCCCCACAATCGGGAGCCATCTGGATCTTGCACCCAGACTCCGCTTGCAGCCGACTGATCTGCTCGCCTCCCCGACCAATGACTGCACATGAGCAACACAGTAAGCTCACTTGACCAGGCCACACCACCACCTCAATGCATACAATAAAACCTCCAAAGTCCCCCAGGCTCATGAATGTTCCACCGGAAGCCAAATACCACTTCGTTCAGTCAATCCCATACATAAAGTGACCACCAAACATTCAGGACCAGGCTCCTTGGGTGTTTTCACTAAAGGTGAACCACTTTGGTTAGTCAATTCCATTCATAAAGATGTGACTACCAAACATTTAGGGCCAGGCTCCTTGGGTGTGTTTACAAAAGGTGAACACCCTGAAGTTAAATATGAAGTCACAATGGTTATGAGCAGTACTAAATTGTACAGTGAAACCTTACTAGTACGTACTTATCGGGCACACTGCATAACTACACACTAAAAAGTAACTGCCACATCAGACAACCTTGGCCACTACCTCTGAGAAAGTGTGCTGCCATAGTAAATCAAGCTCCTGCCTGAAGACTAACAGCAACGAGATCAAGCAGAGTCGCAGCACGCCTACTATGAATTACTCAGTGCCTTCCGCTAGCATGTATGCATGGGCGCGAATGCCATGCACATCCTGAAAGGGCTCCATTACGTTAGCCCAAGTTTAATTGCTTGTACATATTCTTAGCACGATGTACAGAAGCACTGGACCTCGCTAGGCTGCATATGCACTCTGACAAGATCAGCGAGTGAACATGATAGCGAGTGAACAAAGTGCCTACCAATTGCAATTTTCCAAATTCCCCGACTTTCCCAAGTTTGGCACTGTAGTTTATTGGCTATGCAATAAGCTTTAGTTCTTAAACTGTTAAGGTTTCGCTACAGAGAAAGATTTCTATTAAGTGAAGTCCAACACTTCCGTACTTATTCTGTACCCCCCCCCCCCCCCAAAAAATGAAATTCCATGGCAGTGATAAAACAGAGTTCCCATGCACAATTTTTACTTGGAGCTATCATGCAAGAATATCTGTGCACATGAATTTGGTTGCGCATTCAGCTAATAGATGCTCAAAATTAACCCAGATGGCAGGCCGAACATTTATGCATACCTGCCAAGTTCAAGGATTCTAAATCTGGGAGATTTCCACAACGAAGGGGGGGGGGGGTCAACTCCCTGAAAGGTATTCCCTTTTTTTGCACTAAAAGAAAAACCGAAAAAATGTCGCACAGACAACAAGAGGGGGGGGGGGGGTCCAATCGCAAGCGCCAACAACAGCTTTGCGGCCTTATAATAGTTTTTAACATTCAAGGTATGTTTCCCACTAAGGTGAGAATCTCAGAAAGGGAGTGCAAGTTCAAGGATTCTGAATCCGGGAGATTTTCCCAACCAGGGGGGGGAGGGCTCAATTTTTCGCCCCTACTTTTTTTCGGCACCAAATAAATGCATAGACAAACAACCAAACAGAAAAAACATTGCAAAAAACAAGAGGGGGTGGGGGGTTCTCAATCTCAAGCACCAACGTCAGCATTTGCCAATCACACGAGGGTAGTGTTTCCGACTAAGGTGATAGTCCCAAAGGATCAACACCACTAGCAGAATCTATTTCCATCAAAATAACGCGTTGGCTGCCGCAAAAGCGCAATCAAAACTTTGCTCACAGCTAGATTCTTTTGATAGAAACATTAGAACTCGTCTAGACCCTTTTTATTGCAATAGCAGTTATATAGATAGCCCAGGCTGTTTTTTTTTTTTTGCCATCACTGCAGTCATTCATCATATATGTATACGTGTATGCACACAAAAAAAAAAGCCGCACATGTTCGGCGCCCAGCTCGTTGCGAAGCGCTGACGCGCTTATCTCTCACGCATACTTTGCCCCGCGAATTGGGGGAGAGGTTGGATGCTTGTGTGCGCGCGCTTATCCTTTGGTGGGTACAATTGCGTGTCTTCGGCGTGCACTGGCATGATTGCTCTAGTTGCCTGGCCCACAAAGGTCACTTGGGTCTCTGCACAGACCCCGTTTGCGAAATGAGTGCGTTTTTCATAGACAGCGATGGATAACTGGGACACTTGTGCATACAGTTTTTGTGCGTCATTTGTGCGTGAGCAGCCCACTGCACGTTTCGATCTGCTTGTTCTCAGCGTGGCATTGCAAGTTGTTTTCGCATTCATTGCTTCGCCCTTGCGGCGAAACTAACTTTTTTGATTAACGTATTTACTGCCTTTATTCCACCGCTGCATGCCCTCAGAGCTCGTAGGTCGCTATCATGTCGCCATGCCGCAGACCGCGGTTTCATGCACTGTAAAAGACAGTGCATGCGCCAGTCGCACGCGTACACCTGAGGTTTCGAGTTCGCTGCTCTCTGCCTATGTTCGACAGTTTTCTAAGGTTCGCATCACCCGCCGCGATTAAGAAATGTGTTCGGAACATTCGTATTCAGGCCCAATGGACATAGTGAAATTCTGCTGGGGAATTTCAAGAATTCGGTCCACCACAGCACCCTTGGCGTGAGCAAAGTGACATGAATGTGGTTTCGTTCATTCCAAAATTTGTATCTGCCATGCTTTCACATTACTGAGATTCTACTGTATGTTTAGATTAGCACCTTTTAAACTCGTGTATAATAAAATAGAGCACGCTCGAAAAGACTGGAGCAGATTGAGCTGCTTTTTTGTCAATGCGGCCAGATAACGTACAGAAATTTCGATTTCTGGGAGATTTTCATGACAGCTGTACAAACGGAAAAAACGGTCAAAATCCACGAATCTCCCGGCCAATTTGGGAGACTTGGCAGGTATGAAATACTCCCAAAATTTCAAGTCATCAAAACTAACAAAATAAGTTTCAGTCAAAACAGCTCGCGTACGTCTTCCTGGAACCCACATAAACGGACATAACAGCACAGCTGGCTGCCATGAGAGCACGGTTCAAATCTTGCTTGCTTTCTACTAGATTCTTCGCACAGGAATGCCAAAATGCTTCTAGCCTTTTAAAGTCTTTACTGCCTTTAGCCGCATGCCCTCGAAGCTCGTATATCACTATTGTGTCGCCGCGACCTTGTGCGTCATGGTTGCGGCAAACTGTAGTTCCGTTTTCAGTCCGCGTGCGTTGGGTGCGCACATGCCTTCAAAACTAAGTCGTTTTATGCTATCAATGATTGTATGTGCCGCGGTCTTGTCCATGGAGTTTGCGGAAAGCAGCGTTCCTTTAACTGGTCGAGGTCTGGACGCATGCACACTTTCGGAGTTCTGTCCCTAACGTCGTAGCCATATATGATCCCATCAAGAATGACCACGGTTTCGCCCAGAGCTGTTGTGACAACAATCACACACTGCAGAGGGCAGTGCATGCGCTGGTCGCACATGAACTTCTGAAGCTTTGAGCGCACGCTGCTCAAAGTTTATATCACACGCCGTGATTAGAAAAATTGTTTCGAACATTCAAATTTTGGCCAGATGCAAACAGTAGAATTGGCGGGACAATTTCACGAATTCGTATCTGCCGCAGTTTCGCATCACTGAGACTACTGTATGTTCAGATAAACGCCCCCTAAATTCGTTTACAATAAAATGTGGTGGGTAAAAGCTTGGAGCGGATTGACCTGCACTTTTGGCAATGCAGCCACATCACACCCCAAAATTTCGATTTCTGGGAGATTTACATGACTGCCGTGCAAACTAAAGAAACAGTCGAAATCCGGGAGTCTCCCGGACTATCCGGAAGACTTGGCAGACATGTTTATATCGCTAAGTTTCACAGAAACGCAGTCACCGGAAGAACGTACTACGCACAGCAAAGGACCTGAGAGTCAACGCAGCAACACATTTCACTCTGCTAGGATGGTTCACTTTGTGGTTTTCGTCAAGCGACAGTTGTGCCAGAACACCAGCCCAGCTGGAAGCAGCAGCGCTCGATGGACAGCAGCAAATTTTTGCAAGGTCACGCACATTTACAACAGTCCAGAGGAGATATTGGAGTCATCACAAAGATGCAAAGTAAAAAAAAACATGCTTGTGAGTCATTTTCTAGGCAATCATGACTACTCGGATCATATATTCAATTCTGCTCGTCCTAGTTCACTTTAACAGGGCATTTTTTCCCTACTGAAGCCGAGGTTGGCATCAAAATTCTTGCTTTTGACGCTGTTTTGGAGTAGTTCAGTGCAATTTTTGGCTGTTGGTGCCTTTGGAACAAGAGAACAAACGTAACAAAAATGTGCAATATGCGGAGCCGTCTCTCCCCTGCGGTTACTATCAAGCTTACACACTGATGCTCATTACACCCATCACAATACCTGCAGTTCACTTAATGACCTCTTGCTTCCTGTGTCTGCTACTATGCAAACTTAGGCAGACTGCTAACATGGACAAAAAGTGAATGTGCCACTAATTAAACTAACCAACAACCATACGATGACCCAGCCGAAGTGATTCAGACACACCATAAAAATGAAAATTATGCGGAAATTCTCAATACCAAGTGAAAAGTTTAAAAGCAGGTAAAAAATGGCATAAACAATGAAAGATTATGGCAAAACAACAAAGTGCTCTGGTATTGTACACCAATTTCAAGAGCCAGCACTCTTTAGACGTAACTGGACTAAATTAGCAGAGGCATCAATTTTGCAAGAAACTGTAGCCATTTTTAAATTTTCACTTTGAGCAGAATTACCAGCAAATTAATCGACTGAGAGCCGGCAGAGAGGACAGGAGCATTGAGAACTGGCTGCCTGCCAGCATTTCATTTATCGTAGGCAATATCACATAACATTTGACATTCTACAATGTAAACACGACATAAGGCAGACAAAGAAAGTGCTTAACAGCGCAAACGACAAGTTCTATCCCCTCCTGTCAGTTTGTGCTCTTAGGCCCTTTCTTCGTTTATCATGCAGCACCAGGCAGCCCAATCAAGCACTTTGTTAACGACATAAGGAACCATAAAGCACTCAGTACAGCCTTCAATAACGAGCCTAATTTCTAATTTTTGATGTCACTAGAGCCCCCCCCCCCCCTCCAAAGCAATTTTGGTCGGAACAAAAACTTAGGGGAACGTTACCTACTATGTTGTTCCGGACGGAAACCGAAATTTTTTTCAATAGTTTTTCATTTCATGCAGAAACCGGGCAAACTGTAACAAAGAACATGATGCTATGTGTGCAATAATGCAAATTGCGGAGCATAATAGCACGTATCTCAGGTGGGAATTTTTAGGTACAGTTGTGTTGAAATTTTTCGAAAAGCAACAAGGGTCACAACCAGAAATCTTAGTATTAAATTGGGTACAACCAGAAATCTTAGTATTAAATTAAGTTGAATTTCATGTGCTGGTGACACATGCAAGATGGAAAGGCCTTTCTCAGCGTGGAAGTTTGTTTTCTATAGACAGCAGTCTCACATATGAGTGGTACTACACTCGATGGCTGCTTCCGAGTTCAAGTTCACTCCCTACGATGCAAAAAAATTCTCAATTCCCTTCTGAGAAAGTCTAGTATAACTTAGAATAGCACTTATTTGAAGAAATTCTTGGTACAAGTAGAGGAGAAATCATGATGTACCCTTGACCCACTTTCAAGAGCGTGAGTACCTACACAAGAAATCCATCATTTTTATTGTTATTGTAACTTGGAATTTATGCATACAAGTAATTTTACAAACCCTTAGGGAACATTTTTTTTTTATTTGGAACAGAAACTGAACTTTTTGTGGCAGAACAAAACTAAAACTGAAACGAAAAAATGTCATTCGGACACCCTGCTCGAGATACAACACTAAATATAGAAAATGACACAAACAGAGGGTATAGTGTAAGCATTTATTGCAGGTATCTACTATTCCTCACAGTGGCTAAATAAGCAATCAAGCTGTACCTTGTAGGCTAGCTTCACTGTTTTCCAAAACTCATGCAACATGAAATACTTTTGCCTTTTGCTGAAATATTTTTTTTTTGATAACCCAATGCAACCACTGCCCCCGATTATGCAGACACAATCTGACAAAGAGCAACATTTGGCTTTTTTAAGCAATGATCCCATTATGGCAAAAATTTTACTTTAGACATGACCGATCAGGTTGACTAGTTCTGTTGAAGTGAACCTACGAACTTTTGAGCTTTCAAGGAATTCAACAAACATTACTGAGCTTGCTTATCAAATGAGAAAAACATCAAAATGCACATTCTACATGCACTGAAATGCTTAAGAGCTGCTGTCACCACAAGCCTTCCACCATGTGATTGGTACAAGCCACACTAAAGCAGCACAATAATTCTGGTGCAGTTACCTAGCCTGTTTTCACACACATATGCCTAGCTAAGGCAGTGCAGCCAATTTATTTTTATTTTTTCAATGCACAGCCCTTGCGGGAGATGACAATCTGAGATTTTGCAGTGACATTCTGAGGACTCTCGGTGGAAGACAAAAGCTCAAAACAAATGCAATTTTCGCATGTATGTTGCTGGCTCCACTCTTCATTATGCAACAATCACAACCCTATAATCTGAAGCAACCATGAAGCTGCTTTCATAAAGCAAGCATCAACAATAATGGTGCACAATGCAACACAAGTGTCACTCACTTAGTCCAACCATTTTGTCAGGTACACTCCACTCTTCAACAGCCGGTGCAGCATTTGCTAGGGAACCCCTGAAAAAAAAAATGTTGAAGCAACAGTGCATAACACATATCCTATACAGTGAAATTGCAAAAAGGGTGTATAAAAATTCCATCGAAAAAACAAAAAGGGGCAGCTGCTTACCTCTGCTGAGCCAATGCCGCCAGCTGTGCTCCAAACGCTGCAAGAACACAACAAAATGATGAGCCCTCCCACAGTAGCAACATTCTCACCGACTTGCACAACTAGGCAAAGCAAACCCCTATATGGCAAACAAGCAAAGTATGCAACTGCACTATTCTAAGGATGTGTGTGCAACCTTAGGACTAAGTAGGAGTGCATTCCATAATGCTCAGAGATCTTCAGTCTATCTACTTGCAGTAAAGAAAAAAAGGGACGAGGTATCAACATGCAGCTGCATGGCATTCCGACAATGAAAAACCAAACCAGCTGGTATTCTCACATGTGGCATCCCTTCAACTGCAGCACAAGAAATTCACTGCGAGCATTTGCTCAAGGTCTCAATTTGATGGCCTCGCTGCACTCATTCCTCAGATGCGTCATCATTATTTAGTCATACACAGTGTGGGAGTTTAGACAAACGGCAATGGAATGTGTTTCCGTTTACTTTCACACATCATCAAAGACTTTCATTGCTGCGGGCAAATAAATGCAGCGCCTTTTGGTGCCACTGAACCATACAAGCAACACACATTTAGGGTTTCCATAGGCTGGAGAACACTCAAGGTGCTAGGGGGTTCCGGGAGTAACTCCCAAATGCCTCTAAAGCATGGATGAAACCATGGGCACCATAGTCGCCCTTCAAACATCTGTTGTGTAACCCAGACTGGCTTCATGCCAGATGGCTAAACTTCTATTGCCTTTAATGCATCTTGGGCTTTTTCTCCACTCTCTAACAACCAAAATGAGATCTTCCAATCTGCACACATTCACGTGTGCAACGACATCATGCTTACCTCACTGTATTTCCCATTGTGGCAACATCCAGATATATTAGTTGTCTTCTCCGGCAGAGGGTTGTAGAATAACTCAGTCTCGTGAAACTTGAAAATGTTTGCCTAGTAATGGCTATGGCTGAGTTCGCAACGTTTCGGAGCGGTAGAAGAAAATGAACCCTTCGTACACAGCAACACATCTAAGAATGCATATTACACCTCCAACTTGCAAAGCCACCCTGCACTTCCTTTAAAACCTTAAATTCCCATTTGCAACAGATGAGTATCTTTTGCTTCAGAAACTTGCCACTAATGGGAATGAACTTTGCAACCATAATGCCTCGCCTGATATTCAATGCTTATCTTTATTCAAGATATAAGCTTAGATGAACTTTTCAGAGCCACAGCATATTTGACCTCACGGAGAATCTTAGCTGTCTTGACGTAGTCTAAGATAGTGTTTCACCACGTCAAATTGCCTGGCTACTTCAAGCACTGACTGTCATTCAACAGCCTCCTGTGTCACTGTAACTCCCTTGTACTTACAGCCCTTAATCAATGGCACGAGCTGTAACGACAAAAGTTGACACCATGCTTAGTTTATTGTAGATTGCAAAAAGTGTATCAACACACCATTAAAGTGCACTAACAATTTCTGGCTCAAAAGTTCATTGACACTCGATGACAAAAAATTGAAGCAGACGCATCGTATAACACTGCAGTATGCAGAAGTTACAATAAAAGGCAATACTAGAACCATAATGATTGTGATGCAAATCACCCAGGCAGATGAAATCAAAATTACAAAAAAGCACCACCTCGGAGGCCCTAACTTAACATTGCATGCAAGTCCTGTCCAATAAAGGGGACAAAGACGATAGACACAGTAAATCATTCTCCAAATGCGCACAACCCTATCAAAGCAAATATGCACAACACCAAATGAACTGTAAAAGGTTGTGTGCATGTACGCGAATTTTCAACAGCAGAAGCTCTGCAAATAGCAACTGATCATTTAGGCTTAAACGATAGCAGTGTCTGCAATTTCAATGAAAACATTGCAGTCAATAGACCTTGACCGTCCACAGACAAAGGCAGCTGCAAGAAGTCTTCAACATTGACAAGATGAGCATTTTTACAAATACCGTTTGACAAGCACTCCAGCTTTCGAAGGCAAAACATGTATAGGAGGATCAGATACTTCATAAAAACATACCTTAAGAGTGAAGCAAGCCATAATTCATTGGTTTTTAGTTTTACGCATCCGGATCCGCAAGGGTTGGTGAAATTTCTATAGTCTTATTTCATGACACAAAAATGCCTTTCTTAAACCTGACCTCTTTGACATGTTGACTTTTGTGCAAGAGAACAGGAGTAGCCACCTCAGGAGTATGTATGGAGAGGCACCAACCTCTCCATACATACATTTTGACATATACAGTAGAACCCACAATCCCAGATATAACTATCGGTTAAAGCTATATTTTGATGCACTATATTTTGATGCACTATCGGTTAAAGCTATATTTTGATGCTACCTATTAAAACTGCATCCAAGGCAAACATCTTTCAAAGCCTCTTTCTTTTACAAGACATTCCCGACCATTTTGAGGCAAAAATATGGTGCATACGATGTGAAAAGAAAAAAAGTTAAAACAGGCTTTCTCAAGCACAAGATGGGTGTTGATTGATATGTGGGGTTTAACGTCCCAAAACCATGATATGATTATGAGAGACGCCGTAGTGGAGGGCTCCGGACATTTCGACCACCTGAATCTGAGCACCCAAATCTGAGCACACAGGCCTACAAAATTTCCGCCTCCATCGGAAATGCAGCCGCCGCAGCCGGGATTTGACCCCGCGACCTGCGGGTCAGCAGCCGAGTACCTTAGCCACTAGACCACCGCGGCGGGGCCAAAATAGGTGCGTGCTCGCACGTGCCCGGCTAAATTACTGGCGACAATGACCTCATGGACCGTGGCAAGCACCTCGTGCAAATTTTGGACGCTGTGAGCGACGCCTTTCACTTTACAGTAGTTTGTTCGGTCGCAGGTCAGCAGTAAGGAAAAAAAAAACTGAGGCAGGATGAAGCCCTGCAGTTAGTTTTTAACTAAGCATCTTCACCAACACCATTCTCAGCATCAACAAACTGCCTAGAACGTAATAAACAATGCCTTAGAAAGCACAAATGCAACATGCAATATCTTTGCCTCGCATAAAATTTTCCTGCGACCGCCAACTTGCCGACACGACAATGTGCCTTAAAAGGTCTTCAGTATTTTTAGTAAAGGCAGAGATCGATCAATGAATGACAACTTTCACAAGATTGACAATGCCTTCATGGATAAGCATAAAAAAAGCAAGGCGGGTTCCTGCTGGTGCTGAATGTGCCACTGTAACTATATTACAGTTATCTGCTGCTATTTGCTCCACTGGGCATGTGGCACAAACTGCATGGGAAGTGACTACAGTACAAGCGCACCACGCTGCCTTTCACAAGTTCTGTGCTAATACAAGCGCAGGCATACAGAAGATAGCTAACCGCACGGCAATAATGGCGTGAGCTGAATAGGTGACGTGTACACAATGGCATCCGTTGATTGCACTGGTGGTTTAACCCACTCATAAGCATGCAGCGGGCGTTGCTTCACACACAAAATGGCCCAACCTGACACTGAAGGGTTGTTAGCCCTGTTCGACAAACATGCGCAGAAAAAAAAACTGCTAGATTGCTAAGTGCAAGTTTTCAGGGCAGTCCATAAACAACAAACCACTTCTTTTAACTCTTGAGTTGGTTATAAATTGGTGCGACTAGATACATATTCGTAGCATTAAATTTGAGAATGATCACAAAAAAACTTACGGTCATTCACGGCGGCCAGTTTCTTGGCGTCTGGTGAGCCATCTTGAAAGAAAAGAGAAATTTATTCACAAAGGTGCACACATGATGTCTGAAGACCAGGTGCAGCACGGAATAACTCCACCCTACAAAATGAAACGCCTTGCTTTGTTGGAGCATCCATTTTAAACCCTTCAACAAGCCAAAAGTCTTCAGGGTCTTATGTAAAGATGCGCAAGCATTGCTTTAGCACCGTTTTTACACCCTCCAGTTTAGAAAGAACAGCTGGAGGGCTCTAGCCAGTGCTCCTGAACCGTGATAACACAGTATTTTATCCAATTTCCTGCTCCAGTCAGTCCAATGGCACTCTGCACACATTACAATAGAAATGGCAAACAAAATTTGGGGATTCAACACTCCAAGTCAACACAGCTCGCGCCTCAGAAGCACAAGGCCCGATCCTGCATACTCTATGAAATTTTAAAATGTCTTCACTGCTCCTTCCGCATTCCAGGCACTTACTAGACGTTGTCCAATTGCCTGCGGCAAGGATGAACTTTTGTATTATAGAATGCATACAACAAGACTGCTACCTTAGATGGATTTGGCATCATAATCTTCGCATAATCAATTGTGTATGTTGGCTACATAGAAACCTCAGCTTAGCACCATAGTACAGTGAGCCAGAAAACTAAATCAAAAGTTCAAATCTGCACCTGTCAATGAGGTGTCCAAATTTGGAGCAGAGTACGGGGAAACAACCTTCATTTTTTTATCATGAAAAACTAAATTTAGAGCAGTATGAAAAAAAAGGGATGACATTCAGAAAAATATATGCACAAACCATTCAAAATTGCCTAAATTGTTCAGAGTGAACATGTGCACTGCTATTTCAACAAAAATAGCATTTTGAACCACCCCAGTCAGCAAACAATGATGAAGTCCACATTAGCGTTCGCCATGCTTGCCAAGTCTTGACAGACTCCAAGGATTCAATAGTTACTTGAAATTTAAAGTGTTTCAGGGCCCCTTCAAGAAACACAGGTACGAAACAGTGCCACAGGACATGCAGTAAGCACTCCTGTATTTAGACTGAAAATATGTAAATATAGAAGTGCGTGCAGTGGTGGGAATGCATTCCAGCATTTATTTGTGGAGTAGCCATTAGAGCAGGCAACATCTGCTTATGAAGCAGCAACCTCTGTATTTGGAGCAGACAGTCTTTTTCATGATACACACAGAGGAAGAAAACTTAGCTTTAATTTAGTTTAATGATCTCTCAGATTACATAATTTTTACAGAAACAGCAAGCCCATAAAATAAACAGAAAAAATAAAAGCAGGATCCTATACAAATGTGGGACATAAAGAGAAGGTTATTGCACAAACTAGCTGGCTGCAACATGAAGTTCCAGCAGGACACATGCACACTCACATGGGCATGCGCATGGAAGGCACAAGGGGGGTGCAAAGGCAGCCCCATAGACATGAACCTTTGTTCCCCCCCCTGAAGAGATACCTTGCGCATGCCTATGCACCCTCCCCCACACACGTTCAAAGCTTTTACAGTAAAACCTCAATACGTACATGCATGACGAGAACGCAGCTAACTGCGCACTAAATGTGCACAGTTAGCAAGAGCATAGCTTTTGCCTGATCCAAAATCCAATCCAAAAATTGGTCATGTGACCACATGCACTGGCATTGGCCAGACGCCGGTTTTGTTATTGTAGTTTGTAGGTTCCGAACGTGAGAGCGGCGACATCGAACATGCATTTCTATACAATTTAAAAAAAAATTTGAAGTCCTACAATTGCATCGCCAGGCCAGAAGGAATGTGCACGCGACAGCTCGCCACTTCAGTATTGACAAAAAGAGGGTCCGCGAGTGGGACAAGTTCGAGAGCTTACTGCAACAAAACTTTGGTACGACCAGGCATCAGCTTAAGTTGAGCAACGAAGCACCAGTGTTCAGTGAGGAAGTAGACGATGCTCTTTTTGAGTTTGAGCGGGAAAGAAGCGCTGGACATGCTGTTAGTAACAGACTTCTCTTAGAAGAAACTCAAAATAAGCCACAGCTTGCAGCTAGAAAATTTTGCTGCGTCAAGCCAATATATCAAGAGGTGGAAGCAGCAGTTTGGCGTGACAATGAGCCAATCCACAAACGAGAACCAAAAGACACCTGACAATTTCTCAAAGGCAATTCACTGCAGTGAATAGCCTGCGAGCATGCCACGACTACACACCATACAACATTTGTAATATGGACCAGACGATGGTCCGAATCAACTCCCCGGCGAGCAGGACGAACAACGTGGTTGGAGCGAGCTCCGTGCACATTGCCAATACTGGCTGCGCCCGCAGGGGCTTCACAGCTGCATTGGCAGCATGCGAAAGCGGCCACAAACTACCAGGTTTTATCATTCTGTAGGAACAAAGTGGGAAGATACTAACCAAAGCGTTCATGAGCCTTTGTATACCAGGCGAGTGACTAAGTTTCTGCATTGTAATTTTTTTCTTTTTGTTTTCATGGAAGAAAATAATTAGGAAAATGTGCTCGATTACAGTGACCGCAGTTGACGTGACTTTTTCTTATAGCCAATGTTCAGTCATGGCATCAGAAAATGGTTGGATGACGTCGGATAAACTGCAGGAGTGGCTGGCAAGGGTGTGGGGCCAAACAATGACGACGTGCGGCAGCTACTTGAGCTGGATCAGGCACCAATCCACAAGACTGGCAGCACAAGATGCAATAGCGGAACGTGACAGACATATGGGCCTGCAGGCTGCACAAGCCTACTGCAGCCAGCCGATGTCTTTTGGAACAGGCCGTTCACGAGGAAAGAAGAAACACCGAAAAGCAATCTGCGAAAGCCATCACAGCAGGATGCCCTAAGCTTTGTGTCTGAGGCTTGGGCCGTTGCGACTGTAGAGAAAGTCGTGCGCTCTTTCAAGAGGTGCGTAATTGCCAACGCACTCGACGGTTTTAAGGATGGCGAGCTGCATGACTGCCTGTCCGACATCGGAGCCGTGGCATATTCGTCAAAAATTCTCTCGATAGCAGATGAATTGCCACTAGATGGCCCAAACAGAAGTTTACGGATGGCATTGGTCCATATACTTTTGCCCACGAGTGCACATCACTACCATGACTACATTTATGTGCCTTGACACATGCACCAAGATCAAGAAACTGCTCACGAGTCAGGGAAGTAAGAGTTCTTGAACAGGTTTTAGTTTATGGTTATCAACAACAGCAAGTAAAAAGTCACGTGAGACAAGCAGCTCGACAGACGAGCCTTCCACCCTCAGGGGTTAAGTAAATTTAGCTGTGGCTACAAGATGGACTAGTCTTGCATCCTCGAACATGTCAAACCTGCTACATCCACAAGCTTACTCATGTCACAACGAACCATTGTGCACAAATTTCTTATTTGGAGCACCGAAACCAACATTCTTTCCACAGTACACTGCAACCTAAGGGAGACAATTCCAACCAAAAACCCACTACACATTTGGAATCAGTACACAAAGCTCAGTTTACTTCAATAAAAGGAGGAAGTTCAAAGGATTATGAGGTAAAAAGTTTTGTCAAGATCTAATGGGAAGCCCAAACCTGTTTCCACAAGGAAAGCTACCTTATTCAGGCCCTGACCAAGAGAAGTTGCCTTGCAGAAATGAGAGCTCTGGGATGAGCAATCCAAATTAGCTGTTATTTGTGCCTTGTTATTCTGTATAATACACTTGCAAATATATCACTAAGGAAGGGTAACTAATTTTTTTTAAAATTCCCTGTACAATGATACTGCACTACGGTAAACACACTATACATCCTGTAGTGACGAAACGTGCACCTTTTTCACACTAGTACTACAGAGCAACCCAGCAGCAACAGCAAAATGCAAACATTGTGGCTCTCCGATCAACACAAGGGCATCTCCGCACCTGTGGCCCGAGAGAATGTGCAGCAGCAGCTTTCAGAGGCCATGCATTAGTTAAAATATTTTGGAACACTCAGCACTGATGGCACAGTCAAAGTATTTTTGGTGCACATGTGCATGCTAGGCAACACTTCGTTGTCACTACAGCTGTGCCGCACGCAGAAGCAAAGTCTCTTTTCGAACAGAATTTTTAAGACTGGTGTACACCGGCAACCAGCAGCGGTCGCGCGACTATTCGAGACTGGCGACCAAAAAGCGACTGAAGTTCACACCGGCAGAGGCTGCATACGAGTGACCGGAAGGCGCAAAACATGAGAGTCGCATCCGGATCTCGTTATCAGCGAGAACTCTGGAGACCGGCGCCGATCAGCTGAGTGAGCAAAGCAAGCCAAGCGCGCTGCATTTATTGAGTACATTCGTTCTCACACAGCGTTCCCAGCAGCGTCAAGGAGTTCGGTTCAAGCAAAGATGGTCATGGTGCTGGTGGGGTGTGCCATGGTGTCAGCGCTGGCAGCACAGATGCCTCCAATAAAAAAAGCCTGTGGTCGGTGTGACCGTGCCTTGAATTTAAAAACTGTAATAGCTCTTGAAGTTATTTTGACTGCCCACAGCCTCCAATGCAGCACAAGCGCGTCTCGAACGCGGTGTCTCAAGTCGTTGCGATGACATGAAGCACAAGCGCGTTCCAAACGAGCTGCGTTGAAGGCGGTGACAAGTTAAAGACAAAAAACAATTATGAATACAGGGGAAAGATGGTGCACAATTTTTTTGCCTCCTTGACGGTTGTTAGCTTCTTGTGAATGCCGCCACGTAAATTCAAAACTTTGCTTGAGCTACTGCGCCCCGCCACCTCCAAGCCAAGTATTCTGTGGTGGCCATGGTACCACAGACCCAGAGGAACGCACTCATGTGCATCTGGCGGCAGGAGACCAGCGCAATAAAAAAAACAAAAATTGAGCATTGCTGATTGGTTCCAGCAGCTTTGAGACTGCAACATCAATCAGAAAGCAACTAGCCAAAGCAGTCGCTTTGCGACCGTTCGCGACCAGTTGCAAATGATCGCACGACCGCTGCCAGTTGCCAGTGAGCATCAGCCTTTACAACTGCAATTGGCACTATTTTGCTGATAATCCCACTACAGAGCACTGCCACGCATTCCAGGCACACACTATCACAGCTGCAACAATCCAGGCAAAAACAGCAAATGAAGTTCAAAACCCCCCAAAATCGCTGCTGTGATGTGCATACAAGGACGGCCACTTCAAACAAGAACTGAATAAAGTGCTTTTCAGCTGTACAGTTGCACTACCTATGGAACTTTAGCAATAAGAGCTTTAATGCGCAACCTTAACCCCTTAACTGCTTTGGGCAAGTAGAGCTCGTCCTGCCTAAACTGCTTTTGACGAGTAAAACTTAAACTAGTAGAATAGGTACTCTTCTGTAACATTCAGGCAGAGAAGTGCACATTTACAGGTTACATCAAGTCTCATCCACTAAATGGCAGCACTTTCTCGGGGATTTAGGTTGTTCCTGCGGTAGGAGCGCAGTTTTGGTAAAAAGACGGCGTGCGGTGGTAGCGATCCACACATAACTGACCCGTGAACACTAAAAAGAAGCTATTAGTTTTCATCATCTTGTTTGAGTGATGATGATTCGAGTACAGATATTTATCGTGTGTCCGTAAGTGAAGATAGCGATGACAGTGAATGAGTAGCTCTTTCAGTGATGACTGCTCGCACGCGAACATTGCAAGTGCCTACCAGTGAAGCCACCTTGCGTTATTCCGCGTTTTTGAAATTTTCAGCACAGCCCCGAAGCTTCCAGAGTGAAATACCCACAAGGGTGCTTAGCTTATACAAGTGAAGATGTGGCGTCTGTAACTGTGCAACTTATAAGGCTTTAAATCATTTAGCAGCAGGTAGCTCATTTCCGAAGTATTAACAAGAAACAAACTATTCCGTTGATTTGACTAAGTATGTGGTGAAAATATTTTTCAGCATCGACAAGCTACTCTTTAGTACAACCACAATCAAAATCCGCAATAAAAAGTAAGCACTTGTTGACCAAAAATTTTCGAAAAAAAATGAGCAGTTAAGGGCTTAAGTGGCAGTGGGGGCCAACAAACAGGGTGTCCAGAGAAAAATCACAGTGGATCAAACAAGCACGGGGCCAATTTGATCGGGTCATCTGCTCAAGCCACCAAATTATAGGTAACCGACTGACGGTTACGTATAATTTCCCCCCTCATTTTTTACACCTTACATACAAGCAAGATCACGTGCATCTGAAAGTTTCAATATTCGGCTCTAATCGCTTTATAGGCGAGTAAAAACACGAATGCTTAGACGGCGCGCAGCGCCACCGGTAACACAAAGGCTGCCACGTGGCACGAGCCGGCACCGGCATCCATGTTGAACACAATGCGCACCACTTGCACAAGGCGCAGTCAAAGAAAAAAAAAAACGCTTACCATTCCTGTCCATGCTATCCTCTAGAGGCCGCTTGATTCCACCGCCAGGTATAGCGCCCACTTCGGAATTTGATGGGGGGTTAATCTTTGCAGCGATCTGCATAGCAAGGCATCGCCGGTCATCAGAAAATGACCAAGAATCGCCAGCGGGTCGATGGCGATTAAGGAGCGCACTTGAAGCACCGCTTGATTTCGCAAAAAGAATATCGCATTCGGAGATTGGCGACTATTGTTCCATAGGTTCAGTCATCCACCAACGTGGCACTGCACTCGTAACGCTTTTTCGACACGCAAAACTTGTTTATCATTAAATAAATCCAACATTTAATAAATCCCAACATTTCACTTATCCAAATAAATCCAACATTTCAGTTATCCAATGTCGCCGATAACACAGGCCTAAAAATCTAAAAATGCTACGAGCAGAGTACGAAGATTGCAAGAAAACAGTTGAGAAAGCCCAGTAATTTACAGCAACTCGGTCACTTTATCACTTCCCTTATTCTTTTCTAACTCAGCAAAAGAGCCTACGCGTAGAAAATCCAATATCAGATACGCGTTCGGCTTAACACCCACGGCATGCTCCATCAGATAATGCCGGCAGTCACTGAAAATTACTACAAAACAGCGCTCGTGCAGACCAAGTCTCATTTAATGCGCACTCATCAGCCAATGTTTTAATACCCAGCCTGAGAAGGGCATGAACCAACTTTGCCCGGTTCGGGACGCCGCACAATGACCGACCACGCCGTTAGGCTTACGGTGCCGCACAAGTAAACTTGCTGCTGCGGTACAGGAAATAACACTCGAACCATTCCACAAATGCGAACTGCTTCAAAAACGGCGGCAGCGCAAAAACGCAGGCATGACGGTACTTTTTGCAGCTACATCTTGCCGCTAAGCGCCCGGCACTTCACGATGCCGCCTACAGCACGGAGACAATGAGCCCATACCCCCCCCCCCCCCCCCCCTAACTGCAACGCGATCAGTACCTCAAGTGTTTCACGCGGAATCGCTCAAAATTGGCGAAAATGTTGTTGAGACTTACCTGTCGCGCTCTTTGCACAGCATCCGCGAACGCTGCACTAGGATCGTACCCACTAGAAATATTAGATTGTGGCGGCGCAACCGCGGTGAAATCCGACATGCTGCAAGACCTCAATAAGGCGGTAGTGCATTTGTCACGTGATCTGCTATACCACGTCGCAGGAAAACCCGAGAGAAAAAAAGGCGGAAAACGATCACAACGCTGATTGGTCAACTTGCAAAAACAAAGCAAAAATATATTTTTAAATTTTACTCAAATATTTACATACTGTACCATTTTTTAGCATAAAATTTATATGATAATTGCACTTTTATTTGGTTTTGCAAAACTTTTTGCAACGACTGAGAATTGCACCGCAGCGTGTTTTATTTCATCCTGTGCTGGCGTGCGTGGTTTGTTTCGTTTGGTATGATCTTATTACAGTGTTCTACTACACTGTAATCTAATTTAGGAAACTCTATGGGTATATTAATTCATGTGTGTTTCCGGTTAGCTCTGCGCATTTATAGAATCCTGTTTTTTTATATATAGTACCAGACCAAGTAAGTGCCGAGTTCATGTGTGTATTCAGTTTTCTGCAGGGGTCTGTAGTTCACAGTACGGTCCCAGAGTTGTCACAAGTCTGTGTCTAGTGTTTCGACAACCCGCAATAATTAAAATTTGCCAAAGTGGCGTCCAGCACGTTGGCGGAGCGCATTTTACGCTCGTCATTTTGTCAGTGCCAGTGATTAGCCCCCGTAAGGCCTGCAAAATACATTGCCGCTTCGCGGTGCGCCTTGGGCGATCTTATTCGCTTGCGTAATTTAAAATGAACTAAAACGAGTCCGTGCCCCTTTTATCAACATTTTAAATAGCCAATTTGTCCATGTGGCTGTACATACAGCTGTCATTGCTGAGATGTTTTATGTACTACATTGCTACCTTGCAGAAAGAAAACCTTGCAAAAGTATGCTACCTGGAGCAAAAAGGGTCAAAAATTGGCTGAGAAAATAGAAAAACATACCTTTCATGCATATTAAACATGATGCAGTGCCGATGTCATCACGACAATGTTATGGATGTCTCTTTCATTCACATATTCTGACGTTTTTTTGTTTTGTTTTTTTGTGCTAGAAGAGCTGCCATGTTAGTGTGTTTGGTTGGTTTGTTCCTCAACAGCTTGGCGAAACCCACTCAGAGGGATAGGCCATGAATCGGACAGTGCCTTGTTTATTAAACTAATTCACTTCTTGGAGGGAAGAGTTCAATTACTTAGGTATTACAGCTAATTATTTAAGACCTTTGAAAAGAATGACTTAATAAACATGCAAAAAAAAGATATGTACCTATGACAACTGCATTTAGCTAAATTTAGCATTCCATTCTTTCAGCATCTCATAAAAAATTTGTAACAGGGTTGTAAACGCTATTGTGGCTAAAACCAAATTTCATTGCGCCAAATGAAAGAATCACCGAAGTGACAAGTTTAAGTCCAACTTTCGTAGGGGTTGTTCTAGTAGTATTTTACTTCGACATTTAAGTCTTCAGCACGTCAAAAAGAATGGCTCCAGAGATTCACTCACATTACAGTTAAGGCATAAAGGTGACTGTGCCAAACCTGACCTGTGAAGGTAAAAGTTCAATGAAGGGACTCTGCAATGCGCCCTTGTAATCACTATTTCCTCCTTTCTAGGTGCGTTTGGGTCAGCTAACTGTGGAGTAACAACTTCATTACCTTTTTCCTTAATAATGATGTAGAGTCGCGCATAGTGTCAAAAAGGCTTTTGCAGACCTGCTATAGTTTTATTGACAGTGTGCAGTGTAAACAGCTCAGCGAATTCGAAAAAAGAGGCAGTACAGAACACTGGGGTACTTTGGTGCCATGCATCGCTTCTGCCCCTGTGACAGGTGTGAAGTTTCGTGTCGTTCGTGCCAAAAAATGTAGCTTCCATCTGGGGCCTTGCTCTGAGGTGATCACTTTCAGTGACAGTGTCGCTATGCATACAGTAGAACTTTGAATGTGCAATGACTGAATAGATTTGCTTTGCTTCAGTCAGCCAGCCCTAAAAGCATCATAATGACATCTCCCACTCAAAATGACCCCTGATACAATGCATGCTTTCAATGGACATAAGTGTTGTAGCATATACTAATGTATGAAAAGAAAAATTGTCTCGATATTCATTCCCACAGCTACAAAAGAGCTACTATGGCCTCACTTTACAATCTGAGACCCATAGTACAATGTTTTGCCTGGAGAGGTAAAAGAATCTTATGTCTGAAAATGTTCGTTACAAAGCTAGCAACTTCAAGATAGGTTGTCACAACAGTTGACACTTGTGCTACACAATAGGAGTTGTGTTCTAGTAACAGTGTGACAACTGTAGGAAAAGACAAAAAGGATAGGAAAGAGTACCGACTGTCAACTAAATTTTATTGAAGGTGCTAAGACCGCTTTTATACAGAAAGCAAGAACAGTGCTCATGTGTGACCATGACAAAATAATCTTGACTGAGAAAAGAGTATTCTCTCTCGGAAAGGAGAAGTGATGGTGTACTGATGCATTGATCCTTGGCCTTCCTGATCAAAAATGCTTCTGTAATCTCTTTTCATTCTTCGTTCTTGCTTTTTTCAAAAGCCGTGTTTTTGAAACACAGGACTGAACTTACATTCATTGTAGTGTACACCCTGTGCAGTGTACAACCATAGCCACAAAAACCACAATGAACCAACTCGCCCAAATTAATTACTTGTTGAATAAATCAGAAAACGCGCTTTCTGCTGTCGCTTCACCTGCAATCACTGTACAAAACTGGCCACCCAGTCTGAAGTGTCCCCAAGCTGCACGACACTTTGTCCTGGCCCTGCCCTTTCATTTCCCCGCACGTTTATTCCAAGGGGAATTTCTTCTGGCCAGCCACATTCACAGCTCTTGAGTATGCACCACACGCACAATTCAGTGGCAGTGAAGGGGGCACCCTCTTTTGTGGAACAGTACGCAGGAGTCAAATTGCCGATTTACCCATACAAGTACTACCTAGCCCATCTCTTTGTCAATGCAGAAGCACACTATTTTTGTACCCAACCCATACGCACAGCTCTCTATGGCAGTGGTTCTCAAATGGGGGTCTGCGAAACCATTTCTGTGATCCATGAAACCTTCACCCGCATTTTTATTTAGGCATGACTATGCCACGTCTTGATGAACTGTCTAAATCAAGTGATGTGGCACATTTTGTGTTTTTGGTAGCAATAAAAGGCACCTGTTTCATGCTCCAATTGTGTTAATTTACCTACTTACCCCCTCTCCCCTCCGCTGCAAGGGGTCCCCCATCAGTCCACAAGGAGTCCCGGACACATCCATGACTGAGGACCTCTGCTCTACGGCATACGTCCTCAGTTTGTAAATCAATCACCGAGGCATAATGCGGCTTAAAATGAGTTTACTTGATATTGTTTGTCACGAGCATAGAGATTAAGGATAGTGCAGGTGAAGATTTATCTTTAAGTTCTGCTGTTGTAAGCACTGTTACAAGTTCAGTAGCAGTTGCTCTTCACATGGTTGGGTGTCCCTCTTCACTTTTTTTTTTTTTCCTTTTTCCTGCTATGTGTATGAACCAGTGAACCAAGAGATCTGCTTTAGTGCTATCAGCATTATCGGTTGGCATTTTTTATATGCCTGGAATACAATGAAGAGGACATGCTCTTTTAGGGCCTTTCAATTTAAATGAGAAAACAACTTGCATTTTGCAGAATTATGTTATTTACCCTAGGCAGTGATTTTAAATTCAATTCAAACAAGTGAGGAGACACGTTTTGTGCAGGTTATATTGGGTTGAATTTCCAAAGGCGCTGCCTTTTTAGTTTGCATCGATGCATTTTTTTTAAACTGCAAAAGATGCATTGGCATGTATTTTCTATGATTGCTGTCCTCGTGCTAAAGACAGCACGTGGTACGATGTCCATTTTTCTGAAAGGGAACACTCGATCGCATGGCTTACACTCTGGTGCAGCCGCTTGCAGCACCATCAGCTGACAGATAAAGAATGCGTGCCCACTTTTGCCGGCATCGCCCACTACTAGACTGGAGCAGTAGCGCAATCTAGCAGCGCTTTTCAAACGGCCACGACTCGTTTTGTTCGCCAAGAGATGACACGAAATGTGAATGCGCTTTCTTTATCTGTCAGTTAATGGTGCTGTAGACAGAGTGCAGGCCATGCGCTCACTTGTCCCCTTTCATGAAAATTCACAGTGTAGAACAATGGAGCTTAGTTTTTTCAGAGCGTCAAATATTTCCTCATCCAGACATTTATATGTGAGCATTATGATGGCAGTTTTGTGCAGCCTAGAGCATTTTTTGTATTGCACAAGCAGTGCCATGTATTTGGCCAGTTATGCATGACAGAAAAGACGGAAAAAAAACTGCCTCAATCCAAATTACTTCAGACTCTACATACGGCAATCCTCATGACTACAATATTGCTTTGGGACATCAAGCCTGTGAAATTGTTCATCACGATGGCTCTCCCATTGCAGTCTGAGGCAGCTCCCTGGTTCATTGCCATTCACCCACTTTCGATGGCAGTGGGTACAACAAACAAGGTGGCAGCATACTGCATTTCAATATGTCCTACCTTCTTTTTTTTTTTTTTTTTTTCAGAGTCAATGGTGCAAGGAGAAACTGTCAAGTCATCAAACACAACGTTGTAAGAGGTGATTTTTTTAATAACATAAACACTCACATCAAGTCTCTAAAACAATAATGCACAATGGTGGGAAGTTTCCAACCCCCGATTACATTTTATAAAAAGCACAATCTAATGGGACTAAATTTGTTCACTCAATCTCCACCGGTATGTGATCAGCAATACATTTAGTCTGTTTAACACTTGTCCCCATTCCACAAAAACTGTAAAAAAATAAATTTGCCTATTTTCATCTTTAATAAATGTTGCTGCAACTGTACATCTGCCAAAAAAAAAAGGAATGGTACAGTCCCAAACACCTTCTGCAGTGGCAACAAATTGTGTGCTATATGTGAAAATTCATAAATAGATTTGACAACTATAGTCAGGCGCAATTTGAGAAGGAGGAAAAGGCCCCGCCCCAACGACCACAGCACGACTACCAGTTACCTCTGCAACTAAGAAAAAAAAATAGTGCCACTCCTGGCATCAGTGTAAATGTGCACCAAGAGGTGCAGGCTCATATTGATCCGCCACTGAGGTGAAAGTGTCCCTGCTCTCTATAAGTTTGTGCCCCACTATAGTACATAATGAATCCATGACCCAAAGAGTCATAAATATAACTTGAAAAGCTGGATAAAGAGCACTGACATTAAAAAAAACTAACAAAAGCATATACAGTCTATAGGTAAAACATAGGATAAAACAGTAAGACCATGAAAAATGAACCAGAAAAACATGCACAACAGCATTTACAGCACTTGAGTGAGCATGAATCAAAAGTGCAAGCAAAAAGCATACACAAAAAAAACGGGCAAGAAAGCCTGTAAAAGTCATTCAAAATTTATTTAAAGGGGTACTGACACAAAAACTTTTACTTGTTGTTTTCTTACATCAAGTAAGGCCAGGCCCCTAAGTGACTAGGGAATGCACTGCTAAGCGTGTCTGCACCCTGAGAAAGTAATTTCAGTATGTTTTTGAAAGCTAGTTTCGGTTCATAATGTGCCCTGATGGCGCTACACATTATGAGCTTCTCATCAGGCGCTCGCGGTTTCCTTGCCGCACCACGGCTCCTTTGGTCATTCACAAGAGGCCATTTCGAAAGTTATGGTACCTGACACCATCACAACTAGTCATACTGCCGCATAAAGTCATCAGAATTAGTACAGTAGCTTGACGTCAAGCTAGTGTCAATGTCGGAAGGTGCACCATGGGAGAATCGACCTTAATGTGAAGATAATGTGCTTTATTAGCATTTGTTGAGCTATGCACTTTCTCAGAGCCGCCTATGTATACAGGAAATAATATGGAAGAGTAAACTAGCATTGTAAAAATGGTGTCAGTACCCCTTCAAGCTCAAAATCATGTTGCTGTTTATACCATATTTGTATACATATATATATATATATAGTTTAAATAACCATGCAACAACAAAAAAATATTCTATATGTATATTTGCTAAGGCTTTATGCGCTTGCCTCTGTTGCTGCCCAAAGATCAACAGGGGGGAAAAAAAGCACCTTAGTCATCTGAGCATAGTAATAATCAAGAATTGTGATTTGAAGTGCAGTGTGCACAGTAGCGATTTTCTGCACTCTGCACACTTGACCCGTCCGCAACACAGTGTACACTGTTGAAAAGTTTCTATACATACTTCTTGACCTATAGAAACTTTTCCTCGTGCATCTCGCACGTGAAACAACACTTGTCCAACAATGTGCTAGCTAAAGGGTCCCTCACGAGATTTAAGCATTGCAAAATTTAGACTTCTAGATCAAGCATTCACGATCCTGCCTGCAAAGCTATGTAAACAATGCACGGCACAAAAACAGCTTGTAATTTTTAAAAGCTGTCCAGCACTTTCTCTCAAAGACCCCCTGCTTACTATCCAGGCTTTGTATATTACGTAGTACATGAAATAACAAAGGCACAAAAAAAAGGACCACGTACATGGTACTTCCCTTTTTTTTTCTTTCCTCGTTTATCATCATCATCAGCCTGACTGCACCCACTGCAGGGCAAAGGCACAGATTCTGCCAATAAACCCAGTCCTGTGCTTCCTGCTACCACGTTATGTCTGTGCCTTTCTTATTCTCATACACCCACCTAATTTTCTGTCTCCCTCTCACATTTGCCTTTTCTTACCCTTTATGATCCACAGCTATCCTGCCTACGTGCTACATCCATATTTCTGCTTCTTGATTTCAACTGTAATATCCTAAACCCCGTCTGTTCCCTGACCCACTCTTCTCATCTCTCAAGGTTACACCTATCATTTTCCTTCCCATTGTTCACTGCGTAATCCTCAATTTGATTGAGCACTCTTCGTAAGCCCCCAGGTTTTTGCTCCGCTGGTAAGTGCCGGTAAGATTTGCTGGTGTGCAAGATCAAGAATGATCAACTAACCCAAACTGCCGCACTTGCCAACTGTAGTCGAGGTCACTGGCACAAATGCTCCTGTACGTAGTGCACTGCCTGTAACGTAACTGACCATGCTCTCTCAATTCGCTGAACCGTCCAAATGCAAGACATGCAGTGCCTCTACTGGAGGAATGCTGCGCCCAGGTCGAAAAGAATGCTTTCAGTGAAGCTCCCATCTTGTCAAGCATGGTAACTACTATTAGGTTTTGCTTTTTTTTCTCTAGTCACGAAAACAATTGTGAAAAAATTTGCAGTGAAACACCCCCTTTGCACGACACCTTGCAGCTTTGTTCAGAGTACTATAGCCAAACATTCCATGGGCCTGTTAAGTTTCAAAATGCCATGCTCCATTTGATTGACAACGTTGTGATGTTATGAACTATAAGCATGATGATAATGATCGTAAAAAAAAAAATTAAGAGTGCTGTTTTTATCATTCCCAGTTGTTCTGAAGTTTAGCCGCAACAGTCACTTGCAGGAATAGCATTATAGTAAATTACTCAAAATGCTCTCATGCTTGCTGCTATTCTTCCTAGATCTAGCATCCTTCCACAACTTAACGCCACAGCAATAAGAAGTTAGTAAAAGAAAAAGTCTAAAGATGTTATTTCAGCTAATGGTAAATGTAATGAGAATGGGAAGTAAAATTGTCAACATGCAAAACACTTGTTGCTTAATTTATTACCTGAAATGCATGATCAGACACTGCCAGCTACAAAAGACAAAATTTTTTTGTTGTGCAAGCTTTCAGATATGATTGACATCAGTAGAAGCTGAGAAAAAGCATACCAGCAGAGGGCAGGCATCAAAAACTATGCCCCAACCTATAGGCATGGTCATTGTGCTGATTAGATCAACATATGGACTGACAACTGATAGAATGATTGATATGTGGGGTTTAACGTCCCAAAACCACCATATGATTATGAGAGACGCAGTAGTGAAGGAGTCTGGAAATTTCTACCTCCTGGGGTTCTTTAACGTGCACCCAAATCTGAATACACTGGCCTACAGCAGTTCCGCCTCCATCGGAATACAGCCGGGATTCGATCCCACGACCTGCGTGTCAGCAGCCGAGTACCTTAGCCACTAGACCACCGTGGTGGGGCAATGGACTGGCAACTAATTGCCTGCAATATGCAGAAGTGCCAAGTAGTATGCAGTAGTATGACCCGAGTGTGTGGGGCCTAGAGGGAGACCAGTGGCAACGATGCATTGAAGCAGTCACATTTCGCATAATCTTGAATGGCCAACAAATGCATCTGTTCATCTGTATGTGAATCATTACTGTGTAGACTGAGGGATGCCTAGGGTTCTGTGTAATTGGAGGTATTTTATAATAACGTCAAGTAACAACCAATAAAAGATTTTAATGCCTGTTAACTTGATGCACTTATGGTGCTTTGAAGGGGCCCAAGGCAGCTTTTGAGATTTTTAGTGTACAGGCACCCGGCCTGCAAAACTTATTTGTAATAATGTGTGCCACACAATAATGGTGTACACTTTCACCGCCACTGTTTCCCTTGTAATGTGATGCTCACTTGTGGTGATGTCAGATACGTGTGTGACATCCCGTTATTCCGTGCTCTGTACACTAGATTACTGAACTTACAGCGGTGTAATGAATCTCAATATGACATACACATTTCTCTAAGTGTAATAGCAGGCATAAACAATCACAGAAAAATAAACCCAAAAAAGAGCTGTAGGTTTCTCAACGTGTATACAAGTTTTACTGTCCTCATTGTATGCAGGGCAAGTTTTACAGGGCCTCCTTGTATGACCTACTGTGCATAGGAAGTAATATGAACAGCCACCCACATACTTTTTGCTCTTCATGAAAAAAAAAATTCTACATGTTGTGTCAATGCATTTGCACCTTCTCTGTAGCCCTTTAAGCAGGGTTGCAACTGACTTTCGAGTGAAATTCGCCAAACGACGAGCAAATGTCGCCAAAAGTCTTGTTTTTTTTTTTTTTCAAATTTTGCCAAAAAAGTTGCCACTCTACATCATATGTGTGGCATGACTAGTAATAAGAATTCTTAAATATGTATAGCATACTCGGGGAGTACGGTACAAACCATAAAACCTTAATTATATTGATATTTTTCAAAGCCAGTCGTATCGCCTGCTTCACTATTGTAGCCCTGAAAAAGGGCATGCATGCACTAGCAGCGTCTTTGAATGCTAGCGCCTCATAACAAAAGCTTGTGATGGCTTCCATTGTAGCGAATCCGAGATGAAACAATCGCTACAATAAGATATTGACGTGCGTAGCCTTCCTGAAGATTTAGAGAATTTCATTGCCGTGAAATCATGTATTCAATAATCGAAAAACCTAATTACAAAACAACGGCAATGAATTCGGAAGTATTGCGTAACTGTCGCAATGCCCGCACAACGCTTTATGGGTGGTCATGCTTACGATATACATTCACCTCACTGGGATTTCTGAAGGCTGCCTAAAGAAGCCCGACTTGTTGCCAACAAAAAAGTATCTTAAAAACAAGTTTAAGCTCAATATACGAAATTAGGTGGTACTACAGCACAGAAGAAGTCGACAAGGTATTCACGATAGAGGAAGCTGTGGTCAGACCACGCAGTCTTACCGTCCCCTAGCCACTTTGAAGAAGCTTAAAGCTCTAAAAGCACCTAAAAATGTAGTATAACACCACCGTCTCGCAGCACGCGAAGCAGTGCACTGCCATAAATTTTGCTCGCAAATTGCTGGCAGACGCACCAGTGTGCCAGTACCTACCTAGGTGAATTAGGAGATACACTCGAGAAACAAGAAACAAACTATGCGTTAAGTGTGCCTTGTACCGGTTGGTCTCAGACTATGAAAAATAGAAACAGTTTTGTCGCCCATTTGGTCTGAAGACACTGAGTATCGAATGCATAACTCAGTTGACACCTAAGCTGAAAATTGCCTAAAATTTGCCATATCGCCATTCATAAGTTCAGGTCGCCACGGGCCTCTCGAATTCGCCAATTTGACGAAAAGTAGCCACCAGTGGCAACCCTGCCTTCAAGCACAAGGGCTAGTTAATGAGAGGTGCAAAGGTGTCGCTTTTCTTGGGATAACCTACCATGCCATGAAAAGTTGGGTGCGACTGACACACAACAAAAGGAACGGCTCAATGGAAATGCTACAGGCTGCTGTAACTGCTTATTGGGCTCGCATATCTTTTTCAGTGACAGTTGTTTCAGGTATTGTGTGCCAGATGTGACAAAAATATGACAGCAAGTTTTAGTGAAAAAATGCTAAAGCATAGTTTTCACTCAATATCCTATTTTCGAAATTGCCTTATTCCAAGTTTTGAGAAATAACAGAACCCTAAGTATGCCCTACATCTTTGTGCATTTAACAAATGCCCAAACATTGACTGCTTCAACACCATACATCATGGAACAGAGCACTCATTCGCAGGAAAACAAAGGTGGGACAGCCCAGCCAAGAATATAGAAACCCCCATTTTACTCCCACATGGGCGTCACATTCTGGAGCATGTGGTGCTCTGCATCCACATACTCTAGAAATCGGCTGCCCAATCGAGCACATATTTCAGCGAGTGCTCGGCAGTCAGCTTCCGCTTCATGCGCCAAGGGCATCTCCATTCCCACTACACGCTCGTAGACCTTGTCAAGCTTGAACTGCACTTTCTTACCATTCACAAGTGGCTTGTTTATTGACAATTTTGACGAAATATTACTGCCATTTGCAGGTGCAGCGTCCAGGAAAAGACGTCTCGCCACTGATTGGCGCTGCTGTGGACGCTGTCCACTCTCTTCACGCCTCTTTTTTGGTGGAGGTGGATTGCCATCACATGCGAAAGCTTTATTCCGAGGTGTCTGATGCATTGGCCTTTCCACGGGCTGAGACAGCAGCTGCTCATCACTGTCACTTGAAGACGTAATGTCTGCAGCTTCAAAGGCCTCCCAAAACTCATTACCAATCTTACCCAGTTCTAACACTTCAGCCACTTCCTGAGGGTCAGCAGCATCACCCAAGATCTTGCGGAAGGCTGGCAGTGAGTCGCAGCAGAAGAAAGCTGTCAGGTCAATGCCGGGAGCAGCGTGCTTCAGCTCGGCTCGCAGGAGTGGAAAGTCAAACTTGTCACCATTGTGCGCCACTAGGCAGATGGGCGGCTGCAGTGTGTACAAGAACTTCTCCACGACATGCGCCATTTCACCAAAGGATGGGCACCACTGCAAGTCCCAATTGTCCAAACCTGAAAAGGCAATTGGAACAACTGAGGACAAACCTGTCACTGACAGACCACAAGGTGGCTGTGAACCCCACGATACGTTTTCTGGTCCCCATGCCTATATTCTTCCAGGGCGCACAGCTCATGGCCAGTGTGACATGGAACATTGCAGTTTTGTGTTGGCTTTCCCAAAGCATATGTTGACACCAATGAATCTCTCCTTCATTTATACACAGCTTAGACTGCATTTCCATATTTTAGTGTTACAGGGAAACTATAAAATATATAGAAGAACACATAACAGCAACTGTACTATGTGCAGACTGTATATACACACAGAGCACCACATCCACGTAATAAACTGCGATACCATGGTACACATGTCAAACATAACTTAGCACTGCTGTACAGCCCTAGTGGGGCAAGAATGTTTACAATGTCGGTAAAGTAATACATTACAAGGCAGAAATATCAATAATAAAAAAATGTTATCCATCTGTCTGACACATGCACTATACTAGAGCTCACAATTCATGTACCGTGCTTGTCACCATATTAATTATACTGCAGTCAGTATTTGTCCCAAAAAAAGTACTCTGAAAGAAAGTAATATACACTACCAAAGACAATGCAGAAAGCCCGAGACCATTTCTGTAAGTCTGGGTTGTGTCCTTTTTACCTCACTCTTAATAACTAGGCTTTGCAGATTTGTGATTCTTTGAAGCCACCAAAACACAAACTTTTGTCAATGCAAAGCACATGCACACACAAAGATACAGTAGGAAATAAAGGTGGCATGACATATAAAACCCATACAAACAAGTCCTGATAAATTAGGTCAACTATTGGCACTGCCAATGTGAAAACTACTTTCTAATGCTTAGCAGGCACATGTGTCATTTGTACCGAGATTAGGAGAGCATAACTGCGAAGGTGTGTGGCAAAATATTTTTGCATTGCTCACATCGCCTAACAGCGAAAGGACACCTGTTTCAAGCAGTTTCATTCTGTGATAATACTGAAGTCGCGCACCATGCATTATCGGCAACAGCTCTCAAGGTCACTGTGAACTTGTGACAGAGCATCTTTGCTAGTCAATTTGTCCCATTCCAAGTTAGCTCCTGCTTGCATGGTGGGTCTAAAGGTTGGAAGTATGTACATATCCCATAAAATGCCTGTAGGTGCTCAGGATAAACGCTATTTCTGCATGCTATCCCCACTCGTGCCTTTCATTGTTATGTCCCTATTTTCAGTAACTGTGCACGGAGCTTTCAGAATTGTGTTGGTGCAGAAGTGAGGGACAATGTTGTTATGTGTAGCATACTGAGTTGTTTTGTTATCATCATGTATGCTATGTTAGATTTTGAGCCGCGCCAAGTTTGCTTCACCAAATGAAGTGCCTTCTAAATAGGTGCCAGCCTACTGCCATCGTGCCATGACCTTTTTTTGTTTGAAAGCACAAGACATTGTAGTGCATTATCTTTTTTTCGTTGTGCATCCATTGCAAACGTGGCAGCTATAGCAATTTTTCAACACTGGTATACAAAAGGGGCCCCAGAGAGCTTCATTTAAAGAGATTGAAATCAAACCAACTTAGTCACAAGGCAATAATATTTGTTATGTACCGATGGGTGTAAAATTTATTTGCATGCCACAAGGATCATACAGTATTGCCCTGATGCTCACTTTACCAAATTTCAGGCACTCTCGTTTCAGGCCCATGACCCAAAAAGAATTGCCTGCAAAGGCTACAGGCAATGAAATACTATCACCCTAGCAACCCAGCCTATCTATTGGCCATGACGAATTAGTGCCACACCAAAAGAAGCACAAACAGTATTCGTTTAGCAGGGTGACTAAAATAAAGACTAAACAAACCAAATAATACCTCACTTAGCCTGTACAGTCGCCCATTTTTTTAAGGGACTGCAAACCGTCCTTCAACGATTTTCTGCTTTGTATCGCAATGAAAAGCGTACTATCTGAAGTGTCCAACCTTGCAGCAGTTTCTCTGGAAAATAGGTAGAAATTTTTAAAACATAACTTTCCTATCTGTGTTTGGTCTTTTTTTATTGGTGTGATAAATGCTGACAACACTGATGGGTAGAGGCGATGACTGTAGTGCTGGAGAAAGCCTGAAACTGAAACCATGTGCAGTTTTTGCAGGCTTTATCAAGTTTTGTTTTAATAACAAAAATACCGCAGTGGTCAATTAAAGCCTGAAAATTGTCAAATAAAGTATTATTACCATGGTTCGTCCAGCTTTGTTTCGTCAGCCTGAAAAACTACCATAATCAAATGGAACAGCTGATCCGTTCCAGCACCACTGGTACACTGGCGTTGTGAAACGAACTATAGTGGTTCCACTCATGCCAAACATGCTACTGAAACAACCGTGATACATGCTTCACAAAGTAACAGGAGGTCCCTGCTGTCTTTCAGTAATGTTTAGGTGTTCTGTGTTGCATATACCAAATGAGAGGCAGCATATGGAGCCTTGGTGAAGTGGAATGTGATGGCAAGATTTTTCTTTAAAGGGGCTCTGCAACACTTTTTTGAGCAAGGTCAGAAAATTCTGCTGGTCGGTAGTAGAGGCTGCCGAGAACACGCCAGTCGAATATTATAGTGCAGCATGTAGCCTGGAATTCACAATAAATCATCAAAGTCGGCTAAAAATCGCTGTCTCTTCTCTCAACAAATGATGGAAGACACTCAAAAGGGACTCGTAGAGGGCCATCTTTCAGCCATTGGCTGATTTGAGCATGGCGCGCTCGGTCGTTACAGGGATCGCCCAAAAGCCGCATATTCGAAGACTAAAGTGCTCAAGGTCACGAGGCACGCGTGACATATCTTCTTTGCTTATACCATCCCTCCCTGCTTAGCTTCCAGCACCTTTTTCGGGACGAGAAAAGAGAGAACGCAATTACAGCATCCAACAAATCTTTGTAACTCCACTCACGCAGGACGGATCCTTAACATTTTTGCAGCGTTGAATTCGTGACGAAATCAGCTGTTTTAGTGAATCCATTGCATGGTTACTTGAAAAAGTGTTTCAGGGCTCCTTTAAGGGGAGATGTGAGTCGAAAAATCGCGTTTTTAGCGAAATTTCTCGTATTTCTGATTTTTTATTGCATTGTAATCTTCAAACCTTCTTCTTTCATCTGTGAAAATTTCAAAACTAAATTCAAACCGCAAAATGCAAAAAAATGTGTATGAAGGCATCGCGGTGGCTCAAAATTTCGTGAATTTGCGCCGATATTGGCCATCTTTGACTGCGCGCTGCTCCCCGTCGCAGTGCCGCCCGCCATCGCGATCGGTTGGGAAAGTTGCATCCGGCCTTCTTCTTACAGCTCCGACGACCGCCAGTTTCGAACGTGGGCAAAAAAAAAAAAAAACGAGCCCTTTTTATCACGTGGTTTGAGTGGTTTGAAACGCGCGGCACCCTAAGCCGCATCGCCATTGGCTACCGAGTCATTGTCAGCTGTGTTGGTGGCGGCCATCGGCATTTGGTCTGTCTGCTTTTCTGCGCGTCTACGCATATTTCCGCGATGACAAGCCCGAAAAAGTGCAACGTGAGACCGCAGAAGTTTCGAACGAGGCACAAGTTCAAGGGAAGGCGGCGTAAAGCGCCCCGAACGACGGCGACGAACGAGAACGCGCCTACGTGTGCTAGGCCTGACGGCGGCATCGACGAGTGCGCGAGCGACAGTGGCTGCGATGAAGGGATTGACGCTGCGCTTTCTTTCGTCAGTGCTTCGGAAAAGAAGCTCGGCATCTTCGAAAAAGACGAAAGACAGCGCGATGAGGTTTGTGCAACGACAGTTTTGTGCGACACCCTCTTGCTGACGGCACTTGTGGCAGGTGCGGCATGCCCTACTTGCGGTATTCAAAAACTTGCCGTTCGGGAGCCGGCAGAAAAGCGCAAGGGACTTTCGTCGCTCCTCGAACTTCATTGCGAAAACAGCAAATGCTCAGCGACTGTTCTCTCGTGCTCCTATACGTCACTGCGTGTTACGGCGGACGGCAGCAGCTGAGTGAGCCAACGGTACGACAGTGGGAGCTCCCGAGATAGTTTCGCTGTAAATGTGAAGGCGGTGGTGGCTGCACGCGCTGTCGGCATTGGGCATTAGCAATTGTCGAGATTTTGCTCCATTATTGGACTCCCAAAGCCAATGCACCACCGAGGATTTTTTTTGATAGCAAAGAAGGTGCACACCGCTGCCATGGCAGCTGTGAGTGAAAACTTGCGCCGATCCAGAGAGTTGACGAAGAAGTAGCAGGCGAAACTGATGTGGCTGTTATGGTAGACGGCACTTGGCAGAAGAGGGGCCACAAAAGCCACAACGGGATTGGCGCAGTTATCTCCTTAGATACTGGCCTCTGCTTAGACTTCAAGGTCATATCAAATTACTGCCTGACATGCAGTAGGCACAAGGATATGGGCCCAGACGAGGAAGTGTGGCAGGCATTCCATGGCCCAGTCTGTGAAAAAAATGCAGACTGTTCCTCCCATGTCATGGAAACGGAGGCTGCAATGCGCATTTGGCAGAGAACATATGACACCCCACTGCATTTCATGACATTCTTGAGTGACGGTGACAGCAAAGCATATAGTGCAGTTGCAGAGTCAAAAGTCTATGGTGCTGTCAATATAGAAAAAGAAGACCGCACTAATCATGTGGCCAAGAGACTTGGCACCGCGCTACGGAAGCTGCATGTGCCATTACCACGAGGGCAGAAAATGAAAGAGCCAGCCATTCAGAAGCTCCAAACATACTATCAGATTGCCATAACAAGCAACAGGGGGAGTGTACGGGATATGTACACTGCAGTATGGGCTTCGTACTTCCACTCATGCTCTACTGACAATGCTGGCAGCCACAAGTTTTGCCCTGCAGGAACAGAGTCGTGGTGCAAACATCAACGCGCTGAAGCACTTGGTGAACCTGCACCACGCCACACACCTCTCCTGACAAAAGCACAGGGATTGGCTGTTTTGCCCATTTATAAGCGGCTAACGGATGAGAAGCTCCTTGCTCGATGCATCAAAGGGAAAACCCAGAACGCATCGGAATCCCTGAACAGCAAACTTTGGCTACTTTGCCCCAAGACTAAGTTTGTCTCCCGAACGGTTGTCGAGACTGCCGCAGCTATGGCGATCCTGTGGTTCAACAAGGGTCATGCTACTTTCGAGCACATCCTGGAAGAGCTCAACATACTGCCATCTAGAGATCTAGTTACTTTCAGTGATTCCCGCGATGCGAGACTCATCAAGAGAATGTCCGAGCGTCTGACAGCAGAAGCAAGGGCCCACCGTCGTCGTGGAGTGAAAAGGGCACGGCTACAAGAGAGTCCTCGCAAGGACCGTGAGGGCACAACCTATGCTGCAGGACAGTTCTAGTAACTTGCAGTGCTTTTCAAAGTTCTGTTGAACATTATGGCCAAAGATTATGCATTTCTAACAACTCTGTGATAAAAAAAAAAGGTTTCAAACTTTCAAATGCGTTTTTCTCCTTTTGCAGTTTTGTGTGATCTGTGCTTCTTATACACGCTAGTTCGTATACTTAGAATTGTCATACCTCTATGAAATTTTGCACATAGCATGATGAAGGCCCATAGAGTGCAAGTATCTATTGAGATTGTCAGTGCTGCTTGATTATGTTTTTCAAAAATTACATAACATTGAAAGCCCTTGGCAACTAGAGCCATAGTAAATTTTTCTATTTTATTATTGTATTTCACATTTTTACACACAAAATTTATATAGTTTTTTGCACTCTACAGTTCCAAAGGATCATAGTCAGCTATATCTGCATGCTTTATCTCAAATTTTTATAGGTCAGAATTGTTGCATAACAACGGCCATAATTTTGCAGTATCTGACCTGCAGAAAGAAAACCAAGCAATCTACATGAAAATAAATGACATATTTGAAAAGAGTACAAAAAACTCTATTAGCATGCCAATTTGTGTTAAATTCTGGCTCTTATTAAAGAAAATCGTTTTTCGAGTAGCATCTGCCCTTAATGTAGAACCTCGGTAAGTACTGGTGTGAGGACTCACACAATGTTACTAGCATACGTTGGTTTAAAAATTACCTGAAATCAGTTGAGTGCTTCTATTCACCCAAACAGTGTGTGTGTGCGTTTCTTAGCAGTGCCAGATAGTGGAAACAGGCGAATGTGCCTCCTTGGACGTGTGAGAAAACGAGCAAATATTACCCTCTGGCACAGCCTAAAGCTGCCTCAAATGTGTAAAATACAGCATCAAGTTATAAATGTTTGTTTTTAAGCAGAATGAGTTTACCTGCAAGCATTTATTGTCTATCGCAAGCTCCTCTTCTTTCATGATGAACGACTGCGTAAATTGGCTTCACGTGCTTCTTCAGGTAGCTTCGGCGACTGAGTCACGGTCAGTGGCGTACCAACTCTTTCGCGAGTGGGGGGCTGACCTACCGCCCCTGTGTGTGTGTGTGTGTTAAGAGAGAGAATTTTTTCGACACGCGCTCGCACTTTCGTGTGATTTTTGATACACACAGCACTTGTTCAATACTGTAAAAAAAAAAAGGACAGTAATTTTTAAGCAGCATGCACTGGAACAACACGTGTAAGTATTTCATGCAGGAGGCATGTAATAATATTACACGCAATGCTTTGTATGCATTACCTCACAACATTACACATGAATACAGTTATGTTGATGGCAGACTTCTCAACAGTAAATATTTTATCATTGAATAAAATTTTTAATGACGAAAAACAGTTCAGAAAGAGTTCAGTTTTTAAATGCCAAGCATTCCTTAAGGAACCAAAGATATTTTGAGCATTTCTATCTACTTATTTCAGCTTCCCACTGAGCCCGAGTCCACTGCTTTATTCATCACCGCTTTGCAAGCTGCCTCCATCGCTCCAAGTTGCCATAAGCAAGGCTGATCAGATTTATCGGAAATTAAAGGGGACACCTTTCTTGGCACTTCCAGTACAGCAACACTAAAATATTTAGAAAGATTAGTTACAATCATGTGGTCACAGCAGCTCCGATAGAGCAGCGGTGATGGTAATCCTTTTTGATGAAAGAAAATGATTTTCCTGAAGCAGCAAATGTTTTGAGCTGTCGATAAAAAATTTTGTTTCTTCACATCTATAATTGCATCGGCCAGTCGCAGCAGAATAAAAACATGAACAAATATGAAACATGAACCTTGATGGATGGATGGATGTAGCTGTACCCTTTAGATCGGGCGGCGGCTAACGCC